GGGCCTCGGGTGAGTTTCGGGTGGTTAACGGACCAATCTTTGGTTTTGAGTGTTGGCAGATTTTGCTGGTTTGTGTTGTAGAAGGTTTGTTCATCGCGTTCGCGGAAGGGCTTTGCATTCGCGAAGAGTGTTCTATGAGATGGCAAATTTTGTTCTTCGCGTTCGCGAAGATGTAGACGCGAACGCGAAGGGTGATCTGAGTATTCATCGCGTTCGCGAGGAGGCTGTCTCGTTCGCGATGGTTGAGCTAGTAAAGGTCCGCGTTCGCGAGTGGTTCATCGCGATCGCGTAGAAGGATTTTTTGGTCTGAGGCAATTGTGCTTCGCGAACACGAGGGAGCTACCGCATTCGCGAAGGGTTAAACCTGGGCAGTCAGTTTATATTTTAAAATCGAGGGTTTGGTCCATAATTTCGAAATATATTGGTCTAATTCCATGATGGAAATTGGGGGAAAATGGAAGAAAAGTTTGAGGATTCTTTGGGGGATTTGAATGGGCATTTGATGTCGGATTTTGATAATTTTGGTATGAATAGACTCGTGTGAGGATAAGGATTCTATTGATGTGATTTTTATCGGATTCCGAGGCGTGGGTCCGGGGGGGGGGGGGTTGGCCGATTTCAGGATTTTTGGTATAATTTGATTATTTTCGGGATTTAGGAAACTCAGTCATGTCAAGAACACATTCCTACACAGTGAATATAAAGACCTAAGAACCCTAAAAGGCTAATTTTTCCACAAATAAGTCCGAGCACGCACTCGTCACCTCGCGTACACGAACTACAATCAACATAGAAGACTCAAATCCTAAGGGGAAGTCCCCACACAAGGTTAGGCAAGATACTTACCTCAAAGACGACAAACCGATACTCAAAAATGTACTTCTTGGGTGAAAAGACCTCCAAACGGCTCAAATCTAACCAAATTAACTTCAAAGCACAAACAAAACACATAAGAAACAATTCCGGATCATAAAGTCTCAACCTTTAACAAAATCTAAAAATCGGTCCAAAAGTCGACCCCCGGGCCCGCACCTCGGAACCCCACAAATTTTACAAAAACTGAATACCCATTCCAATATGAGTTCAACCATACAAAATTTATTAAATTCTGATACCATTTGGCCCCTCAAATCATGATTTTTCATTTTAGGAATTTTCTTCAAAAACCAACATTTTCTTCAACCCAAATCACAAATTAAATGATAAAAATGAAGACATTCATGGAATATAATCAATTCTAGGTGAGAACACTTACCCAATCGTTTTGCTCGGAAAACCCACAAGGAATCGCCCAAAATCGAGCTCTAGAACTCCAAAAATGTTAAAAATGGCCAACCCTCGGAATAGAGTACTATTTATTCTGCCCAGGGATTTATGCATCGCGATCGCGGAGATTGGTCGCGATCGCGGAGGAGAGAATCAAAGCTGTCAAGAAAAGCCTTCGCGAACGCGAGCTAAGGGATGCAAATGCGGAGAGTAAAGAACAGATGCTTGCGCGAACGCGAGGGGGTGGCTCCGAATGCGAAGAAGGATAAGGCAGAGCTTCGCGAACGTGAGGCGTGTTACGTGAACGCGAAGAAGGATTTCCAGGTGGTCAGCAACAAAGCTTCGCGAACGCGAAAGGTGATTCGCGATCGCGAAAGAGGATCCCAGAAGCAGAAAACAACAGTTCAAAAACAAGGGAAAATGGCCCGTAGCCCACCCGGAACACACCCGAGGCCCCCGGGACCCCGTCTAAACACACAAACAAGTCATATAACCTAAAACGGACTCGCTCGAGGTCTCAAATCACATCAAACAACGCTGAAACAACGAATCACACCATGAATCGAACTTAGGAACTTTCAAACCTTCCAACTTCCAAAACTCGTGCCGAAACCTGTCAAATCAATCCAGAATGACGGCAAATTTTGCAAACAAGTCCAAAATGACATAACAGAGCTGTTCCAACTCTCAGAATCGCATTCCGACCCCGATATCACAAAATTCAACTATGGGTCAAACTTCTCCATTTTCCAAACTTCAACTTTTCCAACTTTCGCCGAAATGCCTCAATTTACCCTACGGACCTCCAAATCTGAATCCGGACGCGCGCCTAAGTCCAAAATCACCATACAAAGCTGCTGGAATCATCAAAAATTCATTCCGAGGCCATTTACTCAAAAGTCCAATTCCGGTCAAATTCTCACCGCTTAAACCCCCAAAACTATATTCCTTCTTCCAATTTGACTCTGAATCATCCGTTAACTGAATTCAACCATGCAGGCAAGTCGATACTCATATTATGAAGCTGTTCCAGACCTTAATCCGCTGAACGGAGCTTAAATTTTCAAAACGACCGGCCGGGTCTTTACACGTGGTCTCAAAATTTAGAACCCATAAAGTTAAAATCCTAGTTTCGTCTCTGCAGGAGAGATTTGGTTCTCTTAAAGAAGAAAAAGAAACGGAATTAGAGAAAAGGAATAGAGTAATAGAGGAACTTCTTGTTTACTTTTTAAGAAATTAAGAATGCACAACGTTGAGAGTGCACATGAGTATGTTTGGTAATTGTTTCAACCTAATTATCAACTTTACGGATGGCAAAATTAGCCCATAAAAATGTAATTTCCTCTTGGGCGTGTTAGATATAACCATAATAAAGAAAAAATATCTCTTATTAGTTATGTTTGGTAATTAAACAAATTAGTATAAGGAAAAAAGAAAAGAAAAGAGAGCTGATGATATAGGCTATGACCATTGTTTAACCATCTAGATCCAACTCATCTCAACCTAGCTAACCTTTCTGGGGGAATAGTTGTATTGGTGGTGAAATGACGTTACACGTGGAATATTGAGATGCTGACATGGCATGACGTGTGGAACAATGATATAACGACAAGTGGAATTCTCAATTGATAGAATTAATTGGGAAAAGAAGGCACGGGGAGAAACACCTACGAGACGATATGAAAAAGAGAACCGGGCCAAATAGTTGACAAAGAATAGACGGGGAAGAATGAATAAAGAACAAAAAGAAGGAAAGGTACATGAACTGGAAGTAATTAAGGAAGGAGAATCAGAATAGTTATAGGGTATTTATAGTAGTAAATGCGCCAGTTATAGGTATCCGAGATAATGGGCAATCAATATCATTAATGCCCATAATAAACCCAAATTATGTGGAAAAAACCATTACAATTGTACATTTCTATATAAGGGCACATAATTTTATTTGTAGAGACAGATCGAAAGTATTATTGATATATATTCTTTACTTTACTGCCTTCTCGAAATTCTCTATCATGACTTTGCAATTTGTCTATAAATTATTTCCTTTGTTATTCTTATTATATTCCTTTAATATCATTGTGAAATTGAAGTAAAACTTGGTTATCAGTAACCCGTTTTCTTCTAAAATTAGATTTTGATCAAAAGACATATTTTTGGTTAAACAAATTGGTTCCGTTACCGGCAGTCTGATAATCTTTTCACTTTCCAAATTCTTTGACAAACAATCATGTCAACTACCAACGAAAATAACCATCTAAATCAACAGGAGGGAGGAACTCCACCAATCCCTTCACTACAAGAATATCCTCGACAGTCCCGAGAGGGGACACTTGAAAGGTCAACATCACACACGAATGATTATCAAGGGGACGAGCAGACTGTCGAACAAGACGCATTAAAACAGTTAATCGCAGAACATGTGAACAATGCTCTTCAAGCTTTTGTTAGGGGATTGCCAACTGTGCCACCGACTCCTCCTCCAAACAATACCGTGACCATAGAAAACCCAGGCTCGGGGCTTGCTAATTTAGGAAGCGGAGGAACCCCCAGTGAATCTCGTGATGGAAGGTCAGGTACACCAAATAACTCTGATTTACAAAGTTTGGTACTAACTTTGCACAAACAGCCGAAAGAGAAAAGTGATCGCATAAAACAAATAGGCGTACCACCCGTGATTAAAGGAGTGGATATTGATAAATATTCACAACATCCCTAGAAACCAAGTGCAGCACCTTTGCCGATTCCTAAGAAGTTTAAAATGCATGATATTTCAAAATATGATGGAACAACTGACCCACGAGATCACGTAACTGCATTTACAACTGGCGTGAAAGGCAACAATTTAACCAAGCAAGAAATTGAATCAGTGTTGGTCAAAAAATTTGGTGAAACGCTCACAAAAGGAGCACTAACGTAGTATTCTCTCTTACCTGAAAACTCTATTGATTCTTTTGCTCAGCTTGCAGATTCATTTATAAAAGCACATTCGGGAGCTCAAAAAGTTAAGAAAAGGATGGAAGACATCTTTAAAATAAAATAAGGGGATACTGAGTTACTCAGAGAATTTGTGGATAGATTTCAACGTGAAAGGATGATGCTACCACGAGTACGTGATAATTGGGCAGCCATGGCGTTCGCGAGTAACTTAAATGAAAAAAGCTCCGAAGCCACGAGGAGACTTAAGGAAATCTTACGAGAACTCCCTACTACAACATGGAATGATGTGTACAACAGGTGCAGCACAAAGCTGCGGATAGAAGAAGACACAATCACACAGTCAAGGGGTGATGAAAGAACAAGTTCGAGGTCCGGTAAAAACAGGTATGAACCTTACATTGGACCTGTGGGACGGGATTCACGTTCTAAACCAGAAAACGTACGCTATGATTCTAGATCAAAGCATAGAGATGGGGGTTCGTCGTCCAAGTTCGGAAAAAGGGCGAGATGCGCGAGACAGTAATGCCAACACAAATGGAAGGATTGGTGATTATAATTTCAATATTAGCACTTCCGAGTTGGTAACTATTCTAAGAAGTATGGGAGATAAGGTGCGGTGGCCTAAAGAAATAAGATCAAACCCGAGCAGAAGAAATCCAAATTTCTGGTGCGAGTTTCATAATGATCATGGCCATAAAACAGCATATTGTAGATTATTGCAAGGTAAAGTAGAGCATTTGTTAAAGCAAGGTTACTTAACTGACTTGTTCAGTGAGAAAGGTTAGCAATCTTATATGAAGAATAGACAAGAGCCTATAAAACCTCCGTCTCCAAAAAGAACAGTTATTGTGATAAGCGGGAGAGAAGAGGTCAATGGTGTGACATATACAGCTGAAAAAAAGACGTCAAAAGTCACAGTTACCCATGGGAAGCGAATTCTCTATGTTTTGGAAGAAGACAGTATAATGTTTGATGATGCATATGTAGATGGCTTGATAATCCCTCATAATGATGCGATGGTAATATCTTTACTTGTACATGATACTAATGTTAAATGAGTTTTGATTGATCCAGGTAGCTCCGTAAATATTATTCTTCTAAGAGTGGTAAAAGAGATGCAAGCTGATGACAAGATGGTGCCGAAAGCACGTACCTTATCTAGGTTTGATAATTCAAGCATTGTCACAAATGGGGAAATAGTGCTTACCATATTTGCAGAAGGAGTTATCAAGGATACAAAATTCCAGGTGATAGATACGGACATGGCTCATAATATGATTCTTGGCAGGCCATGGATTCATGATATGGATGTTGTACCATCTACATTACATCAAGTTATTAAGTTTCCCTCGCAATGGGGGATTCGACAAATACGTGGAGATCAACAGGCTTCTAAAAGTATCAACTCAGTTGCGGATTCAAGCACAGTAAAAGATGATGCAAATAAGAAATAACAACTACAGAATTCAGTTGAGGATATAATAATACAAACCTCAACTGAAAACAGTTCGGGTCAGACGGATGTAGATTCAAGACCTGATGTCATTCAAGAGCCAGAAGAGAATGGAAACATCAAAACAACAATTGAAGAACTCGAGGCTATCACACTTTTCAAGCAATGGCCAGACAGAAAAGTTTATATTGGAGCGAAGCTAAGCCCAGAAATGAAAGGAAAATTAGTCAAATTTTTAAAACCTAAAGCAGATTGCTTTGCTTGGTCGCTTTCAGATATGACAGGTATACCACCGGAGGTGATGACCCACAAATTGAATGAAGATCCATCATATCCACCTGTCAGACAGAAGAAAAGGAAGCAAGGATCCTTCAAAAATCAGGTGATCCAGGATTAGGTGCAAAATTTTTTAAAAATTGGGTCAATACGAGAGGTAAAATATCCTAACTGGCTAGCTAATACTGTAGTAGTACCAAAAAAGAATGGGAAATGGCGAGTTTGTGTAGATTATACTGACTTAAATAAAGCTTGTCCGAAAGATTCATTTCCTTTATCGCACATAGATCAACTAATCGATTCTACTGCAGGACATGAGTTGTTAAGTTTTTTAGATGCATATTCAGGGTATAACCAGATAAAGATGGACCTTTTAGATGAAGAAAAAACTTCCTTTATTACAAACAGGGGGACTTACTGTTACAAAGTCATGCCTTTTGGTCCAAAAAATACTGGAGCCACATACCAAATATTGGTAACTAAAATGTTTCAAGAACATTTGGGAAAAACTATGGAAGTCTACATTGATGGTATGTTGGTCAAATCGGCACAGGCATGAGATCATTTCCAACATTTGTCGGACACTTTTCAGATTCTCCGCAAGTACAATATGAAGTTAAATCCAGAAAAATGTGCCTTTGGCGTGGCTTCAGGTAAGTTTTTAGGTTTTCTTGTTCTAACTGAGGTATTGAAGTGAACCCTACACAGATCAAAGCCATTGAGGAGATACCAGACATACTCACGAGCAAAAAGGAGGTGCAGAGGTTGACAGGAAGGATAGCAGCTTTGGGAAAAGTTATTTTCATATCTTAAATTCGGAGAAAAGTTTTAAATTCTTTTCAGTATTGAAAAAGCAAAACCAATTTGAGTGGACTGACGAATTTCAACAAGCTCTTAAAAATCTAAAAGCATATTTGTCAAATCCACGCCTACTGGCTAAACCAAAGGATGGAGAAAGGCTACTCATCTATCTCGTCGTGTCAGAAATGGCGGTAAGTTCAGTATTAGTATGAGAAGATAAAGGTAAACACTCTCCAATTTATTATGTTAGCAAATCTTTGTTGGATGCTGAAACTCGATATCCTCACTTAGAAAAACTTGCTTTAGCATTAATTATGGCATCTAGAAAGTTAAGGTCTTATTTTCAATGCCACCCTATCTCTGTAGTAACTTCTTATCCCTAAGAAATATATTACATAAGCAAGAGCTGTCAGGTAGCTTAGCTAAATGGGCTATAGAACTCAGTGAATATGGTATCATGTACCAACCTAGAACTGCGATAAAATCATAAGTTTTAGCAGATTTTGTGGCAGACTTCAGCATAGGAATAGTTCTTGAAGCAGAAAATGAACTACAGGTATTCACCGGATCTAGCCCGGGTACTTGGACCCTATTTAGTGAAGGCTCCTCGAATGTTAAAGGAGCAGGTTTAGGTATTGCTCTAATCCCACCTTCGAGAGAAATCATAAGGCAAACAATAAAATGCTATCCCATTACTAACAATGAAGCGGAGTACGAGGCTATGATTGCAGGTCTGGAACTGGCACGAGAACCTCGGAATAGAGCAGATTATAATCAAAAGTGATTCGCAGCTGGTAGTTAATCAGATGCAGGGGACTTACATAGCTAGAGATGTACGAATGCAGAAATATTTGGAAAAGGCACGAGAATTATTCAGACAGTTCCAATCATGGAAAATCGTGCAACTACCTAGGGAGGAAAATGCAGAAGCAGATGTATTAGCTAATCTCGTGTCTGTTGCAGAAGTAACGAATGCAGAAAATGCTATCATAATACATTTGTTTCATTCGGCACTCGACCAAGATAAAAATGAGGTAAATTTCAATAATTTAACTTGGGATTGGAGAAACCAATTTGTTAACTTTCTGCAGTATGGAATTCTACCTGAAGACAAAAAAAAGTCTCAGTTACTTCGACGAAAAGCTGCCCGTTACTGTTTGGTTAGTGGAAACTTGTATCGAAAGATGTTCGGAGGACCTTTAGAAAGATGTCTCGGACCTTCTCAAACAGAATATATGATGAGAGAAGTACATGAGGGACTTTGTGGAAATCACGCAGGAGGAAGATCCTTGGTAAAAACTCTAATAAGAGTAGGATACTATTGGCCAAAAATGGAAGAAGATGCAGAAATTTTTGTGGCCAAATGTGACAAATGCCAACGATATGGCTATAACATGCATCGCCCAGCGGAACTATTACATCCGGTTATTTCACCATAGTCTTTTATGAAGTGGGGGATGGATATCGTGGGTCCACTGCCACAAGCTAAAGGAAAGTTATGATTTTTATTAGTGTTAACGGATTATTTTTCCAAATGGGTAGAGGCAGGAACCTTCAAACAAGTGCGGGAGAAAGAAGTCATGGACTTTATTTGGCGAAACATTATATACCGGTTCGGAGTTCCATGAGAAATCGTACATGATAATGACCCGCAATTCATAGGCACGAAAATCACAGAATTTTTTCGGACTTGGCAGATTAAACGGATAATTTCCACACCTTACCACCCTGTGGCCAATTGTCACGATCCAACTTTCCCTCCGTTTGGGTATCGTGATGGCACCTAGTCTTAGGGACTAGGTAAGCTTAACTCATACTGAAATACCACAATGATAAATGAAATTTTACAGTCTTGAAGTAGAAATCTATGCAAATTTAAAATTCCCAAAACCCGGTAGTACAAGTCATAAGCTCTACAGAGTTTTGCTACAACTTCTAAACACAACCGTATGGAAATAAGTACAACTGTGTGAACATAAAATAGGAAGGTGACTCTAAAGCAGGCGAATGCAGTAGCAGGGCTACCTTGAGTCTCCTCGGTAAGAATCCGCACAGCTACTATCGAACAATACCTGGATCTGCACAAAAAAAAGTGCAGAAGTGTAGTATGAGCACCACGGCGGTGCCCAGTAAGTATCAAGACTAACCTCGGTGGAGTAGTGACGAGGGACAGTCAAGACAACCACTGGTCTAATAAGCAGAACAAGTATAGGTATAGAAACAACCGAACACGATATCTATGTGAAGACTAAGCGATATTGCTAACAACATAGTAACTGCAATAAGGAAAGAAAACAGCAAGTAACCGCGGAACACCATAATAAAGCACATAAAAGTGAACGGAAATACAACCCAAATTCGAAATCACAAATATAGTAAGGACAAGTCATAACTCAGCAACTACGGCAGTTTTTCACGTTAGGCCATAGCCAACAACTTCAGTCAATCAGTCAAATCTTTCAGTTGATAAAAACATTTCGAAATATACTTCCTTCAGGTAAATATTTTTCCAAAATAGTTCTCTAAAAATGAATACCTTTCGAATATACCCTTTCAAATAAATATCCTTCGGATATAAGTCACCCTGTGACACCTCATCTCATAATCATACAATACGGGTCTCAATACCTGAACCCTAACACTTGGCATCCTGCGGCCTCATCACACCTCATAATCATACTGACAACTCATGTACCCAAAAGAGTCATTCTCACATGGAAGGCAAATCGCGAAGGGTGTGCGTCAATACTCAGTAATCTCAAGGAGCCTCCTATCCGATAAGGGTGCTTAGCCACGTGTATGCTTGTGCAAATGTCCTAACATAGTTCATACCAGCTAGTAAGCATAAGGACAAGAATGGACAACACATATACTGTTTACACAGGGATAGGATCAATGAAAACAACAGCTCAGAACACAGTGATAATAACAGGGGATCTCCCGGGATACCGTCCCGTAGTCCCAAACGTAAATGTACAGAGGATCTCCCGGGATACCGTCCAGTAATCCAAATCATAAATGTGCAAGGGGGTCTCCTGGGATACCGTTCCGTAGTCCCAAAGTAAATATGCAGCGCAACCAAAGAGAATACAATTACAGCACGGCAAAAAACTCGTACATCACCACAACAAGTACAACATCAACAATGACAATAATACAAGGTACGACAAGTAAGTCAACTCAAGAACTGTAAATCACGAAGAAATGGTAGGACCAGCTCACAAGGAATAACCACAGAAGAGAATGCTGGCATAAAGGGAACAGTTCAACAAAGGGAAAACTAACATGTAGAAATGATCCCACAATACACAGGTCAATAACAAGGGAAATCAACACGAGGCAAGTAGTCCCAAATAAAGGCAAGTCAACAAAGATATGGGTTATCTAAACTCCCTTTTAAGGTTGAACAAATACGAGGATATCCGACAATTCAATTAAGGAAAGATGATCTTAGCTTCACTTAAAACTAAGCAATTATCGGAGGAGATGATGATAATTCCCAAATAAGACAAGCATCTATAAAAATACAGCAAGACAATAGGAGAAGCAAAATTCTTCAATTAAGTCAAATAGGAGTTGATTAGGCAATAAGAGTGAATCATGAAGCAATTAATTCCAATTAAGCATGTAGAGGTGAAACTAGTAAATAGGAAACTCAGTCATGTCAAGAACACATTCATACATTAGGAATATAAAGACCTAAGAACCCTAAAAGGCCAATTTTCCACAAATAAGTCTGGACGTCACCTCGCGTACACGAACTACAAGCAACATAGAAGACTCAAATCCTAAGGAGAAGTCCCCGACACAAGGTTAGGCAAGATACTTACCTCAAGGACGACAACCCGATACTCTAAATGCACTTCTCGGGTGAAAAGACCTCTGGACGGCTCAAATCCAACCAAATTAACTTCAAAGCACAAA